ATGAACTTTACTGAATGTTTGCTTTTCAGGTGAGAGAGAAGACTATGTTGTAAAGATCAGCTGCACTGAGTTAGATATACTGTTGAGTACATTCCTGTTTTCTTTCTCCCTCAGAGCCTGTTAAGTGTCAGAAACCTTGTAAGAACGGTGGAGTGTGTGTGGGCCTCAACAGGTGCCGCTGTGCCAAAGGATTTACAGGAAGTCTCTGTGAAACTGGTTAGTCTGTGTGTGTGTGTGTGCTTGCTAGTGTCCGTGAGACCTTTGCCTTTACTTTGCATTAAGACTCTGCTCTGATCTCTGTCTGCAGCAGTGACCACCCCCTGTGTGCCGCCCTGCAAACACGGGGCCACCTGCAGTCCTCACAACACCTGCACCTGTCTGGAGGGGACTGCAGGCCTGCGCTGTGAGAGACTGTAAGTGTGAACACCAGCAGCAGCATTATGTTATTATGGTTACTTATGTATTCTCATGGATGTTCCATTTGTGTTTGTGTGTGTCCTAGGACGTGCCCTGTGGTCACCACAGTGGTCAGTATGGCTCGAGCCGTAAGAAAGGCGTTTAGGGAGAGTTATGTGGACCGCTGTGGACCCCTGGGAGTTCAGCTTTGCACTAAATACAGGTTTTTGTTTTCTTCTTACATTCTCTACATCTGGATTAAGTAGCTGATGAAGTTGTTATCTGTTTGGAGTCGAAGAAGGATGGAGTTTATCACAGAACTGTTTAGTGTCAGTGATAGTTTAATAAAGTGTTATTTAAGGTCATGTAGAAACAATGGACTAGGCAAGAATTGATGTGTGTTAAGTAGCATTTGTGAACAATAATGTTAACATAAAGGTTAAGTAGGATCAGAGTTTAATTATAATTACTATAATAAGCTGTGTCTGCTTTGTGGTTGTGTTTTCAGGATGAACCAGGCACGTGTGTACCTGCAGGCCTACAGGGTCGGCTATAAAATCCAGTGTCCAGAGAGGAAGGGGAGATGAACGATGTTGTGCATGCATGCTCCTTATCATGAGGAAACATCACCAAACAGAAAACACACACAAGAAGTGAAATGAGACAAGCTGTAAAATGAAATGTAACTGAGTAAGTGAGAAGGTGTTGCAGTTTCCTTAAATGAAGCCTCTCTGTTAAAATAAAAAAGGGGTGACTGTATCATAAAGGCTGTTTATTTTATGTGACATATGTTGAGACGTCTCTTTAAATAGAAATATTCCTTTCTATGTGAAATGTACAATGGTTTCATTATTTGTCGTGTGTGTATGGCAGCTGAAAGTTATTAAATGTTCATTTTCTTGTCTTTTTACAAAATTGTGTCAATATTGTGAACATTTTTTAAAGTCTCTTGTCAGTGTAAGGTCCTACCTAAAGAGTTCACTTCAAGGAATCGTCCCAATAGAGAAAAACTGTCTCACAAACTCACACAAACTTTTAGAGAAAGATTATTTGGGTTTTGAACTAGAATTACTGTGTGAATGACCAGACAGGACCACCTCTAACAAAGATTATGTAATAATCTAACCTCACTGAACTGCTTCAGCTTATTAGTTACAGTGTGACTGTATATCTTATTCTTATCGCTGTACAACACTGACTTCTGCCTCTTTCCTAGGTTTTTTTCATGACCTTGTGTAAATGGCATTCCTGTTAAACTTTAATGAGCAAAATAAAAGGCCTCTACATTACATACTTTGACCTGCTTCAGGGTTTAGATGAACATATTTTTAGTCACAGCTAAATGACTAAGTGAAAAACACAGATAGACCATATCTATGTACAGACCTGCTGTATCAGTAGGTATCTCTGTGACAATACAGTTAGCAACACTAACTTCCTGTTTGTTTTTTGTCAGTTTAAAGTTATTGTATTTAAGATCATTTTAACACTAAATATATAAGATATTAGATGCACATTGCTATTTAAGTTGCCATTTTTTTCAAATATCTATACAAACATCATTTAATGAGTCTCATGGATAATATAAAATAAATATTGACTTCCATATTTTCTGGGCCATGTGTTCCAAAATCCAAAATGTAACATCACACACATCGCTGAGATGTATCACACTTTTATTAAAGACAGCAACAGAAATCTTCGAATAATGGAGGTTGCACAGTCAGTAGTCTGAAATGACTTCATTACTATTGGATTCATGCAATGAGAATTTCTTATCATCGTAATTTTTTATCATGACACAACAATAATTTCAATCCCATTTGGAAAGATCACACAAACAAAACAAAACAAAAAGTGGAAAGAAACAAAGTTTTTCACAGTTTTAAAGCCTCACAGAGATATCACTAGTGGACCCTATGCAATGTGATCTTTCCTTAAAACCAAAGATTAATTTTTATATTCTCTAAACCCTGGAACATAATCATAAGTGGGGGCAACAGGGGGAAAAAATGCCTGTTAGCGTGAGGTTGCACAGATTTCATATTTATTCGGTGCCAAAGTGACGCCAAAGCGGAAGTCCAATACAGGCTTCTTCCCAGCAGGCATGGAGAAGGTGAAGTGCTGCATGAAGGACGTGAAGAAGAGAAAAAGCTCCATTTTGGCCAGGTTCTCCCCGAGACACAGCCGCTTGCCTGAGACAAGAAAAAAATCTGAAACAAACATTTCTTTGACACAGAGTTTTGGTCAAATGGTAATTTACGTTGTAGTGATTCTTGCCTAATCCTAATTTTAGGGCTTGACAAAAGGTCAGAGTTTCCCTCTAATCATTTGTCAGACTTTGCCCTTGTTAGGGTCTGCTGGTGTCCACTAGTATGGAAAAAGCATTGAAGAACATTCCACTCCTGATCTTTTTAACTCCTCCCTCCTACTGTGGACCTGCTTGATGCAGAAAAAATTACCAGTGTGGCCTGAACATCTCAGGAGTCTTTGATAAGAAATGCTGACTGTGATAATACTTCCAATCATTATTACTGGAATGGCAGTAACGCGATGAGTGACAAGTGTTTTTCACGATAAGGACATAGTTATAATCCCTGGCTTTGTCTTCTTGACTCTGAGGGACCACCTGCCCAGTGTATGCTGGGACATGCAGGCTCCTGTATAAACAGGTAAAGACACTGATAAAAGTGATTGTTTTGCTCCTTACCAGCAGAGAAGGGGATGAAAGCAGCTCGTTTTACAAACTTGCCCTCCTTGTCCAGAAAATGTCCTGGGTTGAAGGTGGAGGGTGTCTCCCACTCATTCTTGTCAAACAGCACCGAAGTCAGATTGGGAATTACTGTTATTCCCTGGTGATTGGAATAACAATTGGAATTCATAAAAATGCAACATGATATGGTGACAAGTGTATGTGACATAAAAATTTAATATACAAGAATTGACCTTTGGGATTGTGTAGCCTGCCAGCTGCATTTCCTTGCTGGTAATATGAGGCAGGCTAAGAGGAACTATGTTTCCTATCCTCTGGACCTCGTGGAGGACAGCGTCAGTGTAGGGCAGTTTGGCACGATCTTCCATCGACAGCTGTCTGGACTGTCCAATCACTCTGTCTATCTCAGCCTGGACCTTTTCTGAGTGACAGGAGGAGAACAGACACATGTAGACACAATATTTCATCAACAGGCTTCAACAGCACATCTTAAAGGCTGATGGAGAGATGGAGCACAATGCAGCACTACCACCTTAGTGAACAGACAGATTCATGATTGTGTTGACACCGGTTATTGGACAAAAATACGTCAATTGGTTTGAGCCGGAAACACAGGTGACGATTTTTATTACAAAATTGCCACCAATCAATGTGTTCGGTGTCACCCATTTTCACACATTACTGAGTAAAAACAAAGAGCTTCTTCAACTTGGTCAATGCCCCTACCCTGGATCTCAGGGTACTTTGCCATGTAGAGGAAAGCCCAGCGCAGGGTGGTGGATGTGGTCTCAGAGCCAGCCACAAACAGATCAATGACACACATAATCAGGTTTTCTTCATCAAAAGAACTGTCAGCCTGCCCCTTAGTCTGAGGATATATACAAATACATGTGTTAAAAGATACTGCAAAATAACAATGATAATGCATATACCAGTTAACACTTTTACAGCCAAGGTCATAATCTTTTAAATCTTTTTTTAACTTTAATTTAAGTTTTATTGAAGAGTAAAAAGCTCTTAATCTGTACTGGACTTTGTATCTTGATTTTTTTAATACTTTGCTTTGTCCGATTGAAATGGGTGTATGCTGTTGGTGATAAGGAATAGAAAGATAGCGCTGTAAGGCAGAGGTCATGGCAAAAGGGCACAATTGGTCTTTACACTTTTCCAGCCAGGAGTGGGGGGCATGATTAAAGACACGTGAGTACAACACATTAACAGCTGAGAATACCGATGCAGGTGCAAAACAAGAAGATGTTCACAGGAAATGAGCACTGAGCATCTTCATGAGTAGCACAGCAATACAAAGCTGCATCTAATGCGAGTCACCTCTCCCATCTCACTCAGGAAGCAGTCGATGTAGTCTCTTGGGTCGGATGCATCCCAGTTTTTTTTGTGGTCTTTAAGTTCTGCTCTTACAAAGTCCTTTGTATCTCTCCAGATCTGCTTTACTGTCTGATGTGGCCCTGGCAGACACTTCATCAGCAGAGGGAATGAGTCGTAAAGCTGGAGAGTAGAACAGGTAGGAAGAGTAACGTGTTAATAAGGCATTTGTGACAATCAGTATCAGTATTGAAATCCCATTTACAAATTGGCTCTCGTGCAGCTTACACATTTTCACATTTATGTAAGTGGCCTGTAGATGGTTTCACAATGAGGAATGTATTGCACAACAATGGTACAGAATTAAGATTTCAATCAATCACCTGTGACCAAACAGAGGCTTCAATCTGAAGAGATTGCTCAAACCACGCCATCAGTTTCTTGAACTTCTCATTGCTGTATTCAAAGCGATGACCAAAAACCAGGGAGCAGATGATGTTGCTGACAACGTTGTTAATGATGAGGTGTGGAGCGAATGGCTTACCTCCACAATCAAACAAAAAAGAGATGTAAATTGTGTATTTGTGATGATTTGTGTATGTGTATATCATTTAAATGTGTCACTGTACACTCAGTATTTACCCTGAAAGCCATCGATTTCTTTTGCACAGTGTCTGAATTCATCCAAGATGATAGGTTCAAGTGACTTCTTGCCAAATCCAAAATATCTGAGGGTTGAAAGTGCAAAACGTCTCTGCTGCTTCCAAAGGGTCCCATTACTGAAAATCACACCTGAAAGGAAATATGTGAAAAGTACATAGAAATCAGGAAGATCAAGGAATAATCTTTTACACATTAAATAATGACAGTTCACGTTCTACAAAACCTTTTACATTTCATTTAGCCCCCTATACAATAAAAAGAGAAAAGTGCTGTTATTTCATAATGAATGGTCAAAATATTAAGTAACTGTAACTGCTAAAAAACAACTATATACAATATATTTGTTATTATTTATGAAGTATACCAACAGAAAACTAATAGAATGTCTTAATTTCTATAATTAATTCTATAGCAACCATACAGGAGGGGATTTAGACCAAAAGAAGCAGGCAAGAGGCATCATAGGAATTTGGCAAAACTGAGATGCAGATTGTGCTGATGGGGAAACCAATAGGGGAAAATGTGATGAATCTACAATAAGACATAGTGTACGTAACTTCAAACACACCATGCTCATGAAAAGGGTGTAAAACATAACCTTTTAACTTATTCAAAAGAATGAACAAAACACAGTGTTTTCACTCGACAATGCTTCCTGTGTGAATATCACAGGAGTCACAATAACTTTGTGTCTCTGTGTGTGTTACATCCGCTCACCTAGTCCATGGGATATTTCCAGCTGCAGAGGTGAATCTGGGCGGTCGACCAGACTGTCTCCCTGATTTACCAGAGCTTCTTTCAGAACATCAAACCTGTTTAACACCACCATCCACACCTGGCCCATTCGCAGGCTGAACACATCTCCATATTTCTCTGCTAACTGTGAGTGGATTTGATAAAAGAGGAAGAACATGATGTTTCATATAACAGATAATAGAAAGATGAGTCCTATCAGACCTGGTGTATTTCTATCGGTACATTTCATTTTTGCCATCTGTTGATCTACCTGTGTCAGACTCTCGTGGGTCCTGCTGTAGTTCACAGAGAACATGTTGCCCACAATAGGTAAAGGAAATGGTCCTGGAGGGAATCCGGCCGACCGACGGTTCTTAACATAATCTGCAGTTAGGAGGAAAACTGCCGCAAAGAGCAGTAGACCTCTGATATCCCAATCCACATAGGAGCCAATAACAGAAAAGAATGAATCCATCCTGTGAACAAGGGCTCAAGCCTGTGTTCTCCTGTGAGACAAAAGGCTGTTGTGTTACCAGGAGCACCCTTCTCTCTCCTGTGAGGGAGAAGCTTGATGTCATTGGTTCTTTGCAACTGAGCAACTGCATACTGGCTGTATTGGACTCTGGCCTCTTTATACATAGATATCAGGACATAACACTGTTAATCAGTGACCACCAGGGTTGGATCATATTACTTATATGTATTGAGGTACAAAATACAAATTTGATTTGACTTTTATTTGAAAAAATATATAATCATCTAGACTACATGGCCAAAGAATGTGGGCCACTGAACATTACACCCATGTGAGATTGTTTCACTCATCTCACTCTAAAACTCTGACCATTAATATGGTTCTGTTACAGCCTCCACTCTTTGGGGAAGGCTTTCTCCAATATTTTGGAAACTGGCTGCAGGGACTCTCTCCGTGTCAGGGACTGATGCTGTGCGATAAGGCCTGGCTCACAGCTTGTGTTCCAGCTCATCCAAAGATGTTTGGCAGGGGTGAGATAAGGGCTCTGTGCAGGGCATTCAAGTTATTTCACCAGACCAGAAGAATAATTGACTTTGCTGAAGCAGGAAAGGACCCCCAGCACCAAATTGCCACTACAAAGTTAGATTCAGTGTATAATAAAGATGTATCTTAATTCAAACTAGACCATTAAAACATCTGCAGATCAAAAATCAAAAACAAAACTACGTTATGGACTTGTGTCCACATACTTTTGGACATATAGT